AGGATGATGTTGGTCTCATAAAATGATTTGGGAAGGATTCCCTCTTTTTAGATTGTTTGGAGTATTTTCAGAAGGAATGGAACCAGCTCCTCTTTGTTTGTCTGGTAGAATTTGGCTGTGAACCCATCTGGACCTGGGCTTTTTTTGGTGTGTAGGCTATTAATTGCTGCCTCAACTTCAGCCCTCATTATTGGTCTATTCAGGGTTTTGACTTCTTCCTGGTTTAGGCTTGGGAGGATGCAAGTGTCCAGGAATTTATCTATTTCTAGGTTTACTGGTTACTTGCATAGAGTTGTTTGTAGTAATCTCTGATGGTGGTTTGTATTTCTGTGGAATCTGTGGTGATATTCCCTTTACCATTTTTTATTGCATCTATTTGCTTCTTCGCTCTTTTCTTTTTTATTAATCTGGCTAGTGGTCTATTTTGTTGATCTTTTTTGAAAAACTAGCTCCTGGATTTATTGATTTTTTTGAAGGGTTTTTTTTGTGTCTCTGTCTCTTTCTGTTCTGCTCTGATGTTAGTTATTTCTTGTCTTCTGCTAGGTTTTGAGTTTTTTTGATCTTGCTCCTCTAGCTCTTTCAATTTTGACAATAGGGTGTCGCTTTTAGATATTTCCTTGCTTCTCATGTGGGCATTTATTGCTATGTATTTTCCTCTAGACACTGCTTTAAATGTGTCCCAGAGATTCTGGTATGTTGTGTCTTCATTCTCGTTGGTTTTGAAGAACATCCTTATTTCTGCCTTCATTTCATTGTTTATCCAGTCAACATTCAAGAATCAGTTGTTCAGTTTCCATGAATCTGTGTGGTTCTGATTTAGTTACTGAATTCTTATCTAACTTAATTGCACTGTGGTCTGAGAGACTGTTTGCTGTGATTTCCATTGTTTTGCATTTGCTGAGGGGTGATTTACTTCCAATTATGTGGTCAATTTTAGAATAGGTGTGATGTGGTGCTGAGAAGAATGTATATTCTGTGGATTTGGTGTGGAGAGTTCTGTAAACGTCTATTAGGTTCACTTGGTCCAGATTTGAGTTCAAGTCCTGGATAGCCTTGTTAATTTTCTATCTTGTTGATCTGTCTAATATTGACAGTGGAGTGTTAAAGTCTCCTACTATTACCGTGTGGAAGTCTAAGTCTCTTTGTAGGTCACTAAGAACTTGCTTTATGCATCTGGGTGCTCCTGTATTGGGGCATATATATTTAGGATAGTTAGCTCTTCTTGTTGCATTGATCCTTTTACCATTATATAATATCCTTCTTTGTCTCTTTTGATCTTTGTTGGTTTAAAGTCTATTTTATCAGAGACTAGGATTGCAACTCTTGCTTTATTTTGCTCTCCATTTGCTTGGTAAATCTTCCTCCATCCCTTTATTTTGAGCCTTTGTGTATCCTTGCGTGTGAGATGGGTTTCCTGGATACAGCACACTGGTGGGTTTTGACTTTTTATCCAATTTACCAGTCTGTGTCTTTTGATTGGGGCATTTAGCCCATTTACATTTAGGGTTAATATTGCTATGTGTGAATTTGATCCTGCCATTTTGATGCTAGCTGGTTGTTTTGCCCATTAGTTGATGCAGTTTCTTCATTGTGTCAATGCTCTTTATCATTTGGTATGTTTTTGGAGTGGCTGGTACTGGTTGTTCCTTTCTATGTTTAGTGCTTCTTTCAAGAGCTCTTGTAAGGCAGGCCTAGTGGTGATGAAATTCTGAGTAATCCTTTATGAACAAGCAATTACTCTCACTCATATTTTTAAAGAAAGTGCTAAGTAACTATCTTATTGGAAAGCAAATGCTTTGGAATATCCTAAAATGCTTCACATTTTAAGTGAGTGAGCGTTAAAAATGTATCACTTTGAACAGGAGTGAAAAACAACAACAAAACTTAGTTGCTTCAGTGAATAAAAGGTTATTTTAAGAATGTATTATACAAATGTTCCTCAGTTAAAGGCAAGAATTGCCTTAAAATTAGACTATGGATCTTCAAATTTTGTGGAACATTTTGTTCATATAGTTTTACCTAAAAGCTTTTTCCTTCCTCAAATTCTTTAATAAGACCTTACTGCATTAGCCACTGCTTTGTAATGATAATTTGTATTTTTTGATTAACTTTTGCCTAACAAATATACATATATATGTATATGTATATTTACAAATAACAAATATATATATATATATATTACTATTTCACTTCACTGAGCTGTGCTGTGAGGGAAAGAAAGATGATTTCATTTTTCACTTGCTAACATTAACAGAGAGATATCTGCTTTACAGTTCTTCACTGGTGAGTTCACAGTGTCCTTGCATCTCAACAACTCTTCCCCATAGTAGGTTTTACATGGCAATAATTTATTCAGAACATTTGAAATGCTGTTTCTTTTAAAAACCAGGTCACTGGAGAACACTGAAATCAGCCAAGGCATTAAAACAAATTTAATGAAATTTTCAACAAATGAAACTGGCAGGACACAAGGCTTTGCAGCAGGAATAGTAGCCTTAACTGCTTATTAAGATAATCTCCTGCTGAGCATTTTACCTCTTATGTTGCGTTTTGTGTCCCCTACTGTCTTGTTTTTGTTAGATACTTTTAACACATTCTGTACTGCCTGACAAAGAGAAAAAAGGGGGCAATCCAGACAGTAAAAATACTTTCTAAAAATAATAAAAGGCAGAGTAACTGTCTTTTTGTTTAAATAACAACATTTGGTACCTCCATCTAAAGCTTTCAAAGTTATTCCCAACTAGCATGAATAGGAAATAGTGTTCTGTTCCCAATGGGTGCTCAATACAGATCAGTGACTAACATACGCAGATTAACCTTTATAGTGTCTTCATGGGCTTGCTTTTCTCTTGCAATGAGGGGACTATATACAGTACATGGGAGTCATAACTTCACCTATGAAGAATGAATCCATATAGTAGGGGAGTACTCTGTATAGTTTATTGATTCCATATTAGAACATATATTCTTACACCAAAATCAAGATTACACTCCTTTGGACAGATCTTCACATGGACACATTTAACTGGTCCATGGCCGTGCCCAGTGAACTCTTTCATCCTTCCTATACTGTTTTTAACCTGCTGCTGCCACTACCAACATCCCACCACAGTACCCCACCATGAGGCTTTTTTAGGGGTCACAGCCAGTCCTCCTTCATTTGGTTCTTTAACTACCTGAAAAGGGGTTATTAATATGGTATTTTTGAATAGTTACTGTTTCTTGCATGGGGTTACAATGTATCTTTCTAATATATACATGGATGAACTGCTGAAAGTAGGAGCGAGATGTACTATACCCATAAGAATGCTGAACATCTGTTTTATGTTGAACATATATTTTTTAATATTAAAAAATTACTGTAGAGCTGAGTATGCTTAGTTAAAAAGATGAGGCTGGCATCACCTCTCCCCCACAGAAATATCTTTGAGGCTATGTCAGATTCAGCCATTTGTCTATTTGTCAAAATAGACTTTTAGGTATCATAAGTTGTGGGAGAAATATTAATATTATTATAAATACTAACAATTTTCTTAGTAATAATGACTAACATTCATGGAACTATTAAGTTTTATGTGTTTTTTTTCTCCTACAATCCTCATTAAAATCCTACAATTATTAACTTTGTTTGTCAGACAGAATATCAAGCGTGACAAAGGGTAGGCAAATTTTCTGGGGCTGTAAATATTAATTCTGTTATATGAAAACAATATATAAGATTTTTCATGCTAAGTATTACGAGCTTCTGAGCAAATGTTGTAAAGAAGTTGGGTCTGAATCTACTAATCCATCATTTATTGGCACTGTGAAATTAAAAATTCATATCAAATATATGTGGGGCGTGCTACATAGCATATCCCTAGTTGGACACTCACAATGTAAGTTAACATATGAATGATTATGATAAATACTGTATAAAAGAAACTTGCTTATTTTGTTCAGCATTTTCCAAGTTTGTGAAAACAGTGAAAGGCCTTCAGAGACAGTTATGACTCCATAAATATTTTTTTTTAAGTTGAACAAATTAGCCTGTTTTCATAGTTGATATATTTTAATTTGAAAAAGACCTTTTAAAGGGCATGGGAATAATGTGGACAGAAGATACTGTTTTCCATACTCTTCTCTTCACTTGGAGAAAACCTCTTATACATCCATAGATTCCTTCCTTATAAAATGACCAATAATTTGTTGTCACTGCTAGAATGTCAGTAGAAAGTATATCTATTGGCCAGGTGCGGTGGTTCACACCAGTAATCTCAGTACTTTCGGAGGCCGAGGCAGGTGGATCACTTGAGATCAGGAGTTCGAGACCAGCCTGGCCAACATAGTGAAACCTCGCCTCTGCTGAAAAAACAAAAATTAACCAGCTGTGGTGGTTGGCACCTGTAGTCCCAGCTACTCTGGAGGTTGAGGCATGAGAATTACTCAAACCTGGGAGGTAGAAGTTGGGGTGAGCCAGGATTGTGCCATTACACTCCTGTCTGGGCAACAGAGCAAGACTGTCTCAAAAACAACAACAACAACAATAACAACAACAACAACAACAAAAAGCAAGAAAAAACCCCAAAAACAAAAACAAACAAAAAAGAAACTGTATATATTATTGAAGGTAGGTGAGAAGTGACATGTTCCTATATTTTCTATTTTGTTTGAACACTACACCTAACGTATTAAAATCTACTTTTCTCTGTTCCCAGGTCATCAAAAGTAAAATTACTTATCTGTATGTTTTGTATACCACCACAGCTTCCAAAAATGATCTGAAGTGACTAACAAGCTAAAATCCACTGTAACACTCCACCTATTTGACTAGTATATTTTGAAAGCTATTGATAACAATTTATTATAAAGCAATTTATCTAGCCCACTGCATTATCATTATAAAATAAATTCTAAATCGCAGAAGAGAAAGTATAAAAAGTTGTAATTTGAATTCTTTAAAAATAAATTTTAATTACATGTTTTTAAACTTATGCCCTTATATAATGGAGATAGCATACCTCTCTTCATTTTTTTCCACTTTTATTTGGCTTTGATAGGCATATCTTCCTGTTTCTTCATAGGTGTTTTGATTTGTCCGTGTTGATTTTCCATTGACATGAAGTTTTGCAAGATCATTTCGGAGCCTTTCATTCTCATATTCCAGTTTATTAATAGATGTATGCCTTGAATGTTGCCTGTTAGTGAAGTCCATACTCTGGAGAATGAAATAAACTATCATTGAATAAACTATCCCTTATAAATAATGCATATTTTCTGTTTGGAGACTTGTGCCAGAAAGTCCCTTTCATTTGAGCTGAGTGATGTGGCTCTACTCTTGCTCACTTTCTAAATGCTCCTTTCCACCCCTTTACCTCCTCACAACAAGCAGATACCTAGGGATAGCTGCCATGGAACACACTGCAATGATGTATGTATTGCATCATCCCCACTGTTGGATGTTGCAATATAAACAATACTGCCCATGCTCCAAAACAGAAAAGGTTTACTCTATGCGTTATTGCTCTCTCTATCTATTTAGGTTGGCGCAAAAGTAATTGCAGTTTTGCCATTACGTTCAATGGCAAAGCTGCAATTACTTTTGCGCCAACCTAATAGAACAAATTAGCTAGACTACAAGTTTTTTTGTGTGTTCATAGGATGTACCTTCTAGTATTGATTAATAATGAAACTAGAAATGACATGCATTTCAATTTTAGAATAATTTTTCTTCTGATTAAAATAAGACATGGGTGTGTATTAACATATGGGCACATAAAATCATTTATATGTCCTTATAGAAAATATAGGTATTAAGAACAAAATAAATATTCCATACTACCAACACTCAGTGATAACTGCTGTTAACATTTATATCTTTCTAGTCTTTTTTCTACCAACAGAAAATACAATATCATCAACATAAAATATCAATATAATGTATGGCTACTTAGAAAATTATAATCAATATATGGTCATGTGTTATTTAATGATGAGGATGCATTCTGACAAAGGCGACGTTAGCTGATTTCATTATGTGTTCATACAGTGTGCCTACACAAACCTGGAAACAGCATTGAATAAATTGTGTCTGAAATAACTATAAAAATAGTTTAATAAATTTTGATACACAGCATGGATTATTATCAAGCTATTATAAAAATAAAATAGACTTAAATCAGTTGACTTGGAAAGATTCCAAGGGACACAGTTGAGTGAACAAAACAAGAAGTATATATTATGTTTCAACTTTAAAAAGATGATAAAATCCCCAAATAGGTACTATATAACTATATGTATATATATGAAAAAGTAAAAAATAATATATATCAAGTACTTAACATGTGTCATCTGGAGGAACAATATGATGTAGGTATATGATTGGAGAAAAGAGGGAGGGGTGAAACAAGCAGCAACAACAAAATGATTGCACTAAAATTGGCCTATGTAAGTTAGGATTACATTTATTAAAAATTATATCTTATATGAACATACATTTTTTTCTAAAAAATTAGGAAAAATAAAAGGATGTTTATCTACTGACTTGTAGAGATGTCCATGGACTGTCAAAGGCAGTTTGGGAATAACGTATATATTATACATTTATTTCTGTAAAAGAACATTCAAGCTATCTCCTCCTTATTGTGTGCATATGCAAGGACAAAGGTACAGAATGCTGCAACAAACACTAATTTGTTAGCACTGGGCATCTTTGGAGTCCAAACTGGGATTGGGATAGGGTTGTGGATCATTAGCTGCTTCTTTATACATCTCTGTGCCTGCTATTTCTTAAAAACACAAAAATGGTGAACAAAGAACGGCCTAAAGGAACCAGAATGAAGTAGGCTCAGTGGCGGCTGTGATGACCCAAATATACACCTTAAAAACATTCAGATTGAAATGTAAAAAAATACAAATACTATTTTGTGAGTGAAACAGGCACTCATGGAGGCAGGATCTGATTTAACTTACTGTGTGTTCAGCATTTAGAAATAAAAATATCATAGATGACACACAGTTTTCTTTAATGTAACAAATAGGAAAATTACATATGCCTTACTTTTTATCCATCTGTACTCCAATCACAGGATCCATTTACCACACACAAAGAAGCAGACACAATGCTTCCAGAATGTTTCTACTCTTCTGATGCTATAATATGGACCATTATGAGAACAAGTACATAATACCACGGAAATATATATCATAGCTTAAGGAGGGCCAGTGGAGAATGCCTAATTCAATTCCCTCATTTTATAGCTAAGGAAACAGGCCTGATTAAGTAATTACTATATTCATCTTTTATCCTTCTATTCCTCATATGGTAGAAAATTATTTTAGAATTTTCTCAGAGCAAATAAATGATAAACAATTAACAATGCTATTTTAGTCATTCAATAAATGAAAATTCTCATATAAAGATTAACTTTCTACTGTTACATTAAACAATTAAAATGAGATGCACAGAGACTGTTTAAGTTCCTTGGTGTAAACCTATAGAGCCATTGGTTAAAACCAGAAGTCCTTATCCTCAATATTCATTTATTTATCCCTTTAATCAACCAACACTCATTGAACACTTCCTTTATGCCTGAGGATGTGAGGTACTGGTGAAAGAAACACCAATAAGACATGGTTCCCTGTTTGTCATCCACTGGGAAAGTGACAAGCAACAAAACAAGTCAGAAAAAATTCAAACCAAATGTGGCATTCATTCTGACTGGGGTTTCAGGGGTGGCTTCGTTGAGAGGAATATTGGCAGTTGAATCAGGCCATGTAGAATATAGGATTTCAAAGGCAACAGCAAGAACAAAAGCAAGGAAATAGCATGCTTGGCATATTTGAGGGAAATGATCAGAATTGAGCCTAATCCAACCAAAGAACAAGGGAGAAAACCAGGGATTCCAATGTTCTAGCCTGAGGATAAAAGTAATCTCAACTGAAGTGCGAGATAATTACTGCCCAACTCCTTCATGTCTAACACACATCAATGAATGATGTCTGGGTTAATCATGACAAGCTCAGTCATCTCTTTGTTCAATTTATTGAATGATGTCGGCGTATTACCATGTATCGTTCAGGGTCTAAATCTCCCATCATTCCTTTTAGATGTGTGTTTTCAGTTCTGACAGCTTTATATCTCATATCTGAGACCTGAAATTAGCAGATAAAAGGCAAATGTAAAATTCATAATAAAAACTCATAATTCTATTAAAATTTTGTTTTGTGAATACAAATATTTTCTAAGTGTAAAGAAGGGAAACATTTCTTGGGTATGATCAATAACAATCAGGTACTCTTATTTAGTTCTCTTATCTTTGGCAGGCATCAGTTTATGTCTTTTTCTGATCAGTGCTAAACTAAAAACACATACTTTCAATAATGATTCATTTACTTTTGTCCTCCAGTTCCAAAATTCAGTTTCTCATTTCTATTTCCTATTGTATGCAAATTGTCACCAGAAAAAGCAAATGTTAAAAAAAGTTTGAATAACTGTCCATTAAATTTATTCAACACCTGATTTTTACAATAGGCAATATATAACTTTCATGTTTAACTTTGTTATTTCTGATATTTCTACCAAAATTCCATCTTTTTTAGTGATTACTTCATTTTGTCTATTTTATCTTTCCCTGATTTATTCTACTTTTCAGGACTTGGATATTGTATCCATCCTTTTATTTAGGACTCATTTCTGTATAAAACACCTGCCTTAAATTTACTTTTGTAGATTATTAATTATATGCTCATTGACAAAACCTAGAAAATGTACAAAAATATAAAGGTGAAAATAAAAATTATTCATAATCCAACTACCCAGATCACTGTTAACACCTGTAAAATATCCTCCCTATACAGGTACAACCGAAGTGATTATCCAATCTCTGCTGTTTTCCTGTATTTTGCACCAATTAATCATGGTTTAAAGCTTATAAAAATTTAGCAAAGGCTAAATTTGTTCTGTTTTCATAATTCACATGATTTAAGTAGTCATGCTATTTGTGAAGTGACCCTCATATGCCTAGAAAATTATTAAACAATGCTCTCAAAACCTTTAGATTTGGGGTAAAAAGGCAGATAAACCCCTGTGCTCTCAATAGGAGGCCATCAATTTGATCATGAGTAAGGGATGGAGGGAATGTGAAAAATAAGTAGACAGGCAGGAAGGAAAGGAAGGATGTAGAAGCTACTTGTAGTATTTTAACAGGAGAATGTTACAATTGCTATTATTTTTCCCCATGCACCATGCTGTGCACTGAGTGCATGTTCAGTAAATATGAACATGTTTCAACATCCATTTGTAAAAACCCTGAAAGAAATACATGAAATGGGGGGAGGGGTGGGAAGTGTTGAGGAAGAGCAGGAATAGAGACTTTTTTTAAAAAAAAAAAAGATAAAAATGTTAATGAAAGAGAAATACAGAAAAAATAGAAATATTTGATTAGAATGTACTGTGGGCGGTGATCAGAATATATGTTATAAGAAAATGAAAGATGAGATTTAATGAAACTGTCTAGCACTGTCATCTCCCTAGTCCTTTTTTTTTCTTTGGTGGCCCTTTGTGTTATCTCAAAGGTTTTATGTAACACCACAAAGCATTTCTGTAAAGCTAGTCTCTCAGAAATAATACCAAAAAATGCAATGTTTTCATTAATTGATAATGAAGGCTACTCTTATCACTGAGCAAGAGTGTGCACTGGACAGGTACTATTCTGCCTGCTTGCATACCTGTTGTTTTGCTAACATTTTTTCTTTTATTTCTAGTTCCATTTTTAACTGTTTTTCCAGAAGGGCAGCTTTCTTCATGACAGTTGCTATAGTGATCTCCTTCTGATGAAGCTCTTCTGTTAGGTCAGAGATTTCATTCCTCATTCTTTCCTGCTCAGAGCTATGGTACTCTTCCTCCTGTTGGAGTTGGCTTCTTACCTGCAGCAGATAGAGACTGGAAATATTAATGAATCTTTATTTATAGAATAGCTTAAAACTTTTACTGGCCATATTTTCAGTCCTCCTATTCTGAAACTTTGGCAGGGCCCACTTTACCCTTCTTTTCTGATCAATGCTAAATTAAAAACAAATACTTATAATAATGATTCATTACCTTTTTTCCTTCCGATTCCAACACTTTATTTCTTTCTTCTATTTTCTGTTGTATGCAAATCATCACCTATGACTGATACTACTTTGATAACCACTTTGAAAGGAAGGTGAAGAAAGTATTACCAAGCATTTTCAAGGAGAAGAAAAATTGGCTTGAAATGATTACGTGACTTGCTCAAAGTCATAAAGCCAATAATCTGCAGAGCTGGGACTGGAATCTAGGACTCTTGGTTTTAAATTCAGTGCTTTTAAAAATACTAAAATAGGCTGTACTGTTTGTAACTTAACATTTTGTTTTTCAGAATCACATTCCAGTAAACTTCAATGTCTTCATGAAAACTCTTCACTTCCCTGTGTAAGCCTCCTATATTCTGAATCTTGGCTAAGCTTCCATGTTAGAAACCTCTCGATTGTCTCTGACTCTTCTCCACCCTTGTCCTCCCAAACCTGGTCAGGCAATGAGTTCTGTACATTCTATTTCAACCTCTTTTAAGTTTGCCTCTGCTCTCCATCCTTACAATGCTTTCTTGGTCCAGCCTCTTAGCATCTTTCTAAAAACCACTTGCTGTTTCTAATTCTTGAGACTTAAAGTACATAATCATCTATCTAAAAAAAAAAAAAGTCATAGTCCATTGGGGGAAACAGAAAAATAGCCAATTACAGCACAGTGTAGCAATCAGTGTCAGCAGTATGTAGTGGCAGGGTGTTTAACCCAGCCTAGGGATGTCAGGACAGGATTCCCAGAGAAAGATCATCAGACCCAAAACTGAAGGACAAATGAATGCCAGTTAGAAGACAGAGATGCTCTAGCTGGGCATGGTGGCTGTGCTGGAAGTTGAAGTGGGAAGGATGGCTGTAACCTGGGAGTGACAGAGCAAGACCCTCAAAAAAAAAAAGAGGGCATAAAACAAAATAGAATATAGAGATGCTATACAAAACGTAAAAACATCAGCTGGGTATGGTGGCATGTGCATGCAGTCTCAGTTACTCAAGTGGAAGGGGCACTGGGGTGGGAGGATCCCTTGAGCCTAGGAGGTCTAGGTTGCAGTGGACCCTGATCGCACCACTGTATTCCATCCTGAATGACACAGTGAGATCCTTTCTTGAAGAAGAAAAAGAAGGAGAAGGAGGGAGAAGGAGGAGGAGGAGGAAGCGTCAGGGAGGATGGAGAGGGGAGGGGGAGGGGGAGAAGGAGGAGGAGGAGCTGCTTCCAGGCAAAGAGCTCAGTGAACGAAAGCCTAAGAGTGACACTGAGCAATGGCACACTCAGTGAGCTAAAAGGAGTTTGGGGTGGCTACGACTTAGTGTGCTCTGAGAAATAAGGCTGGAGAGTTAAGAAGAGGCTATCCACAAAAGAAACATAAATTTTTTTCCAGGGTACTTTTTAAAAATTGATTTTCTTTTCATTTCACCTTTATATATCTTTAAAAGAATAAGGGCTGTCTCTTTTTAAATGTAGCCAGAATATTACAATGTCTTTAAAAGTTAACAATTCCTCAACATCACCAAGTATCTAGGCAGTATTCAAATGCAAAGTTGCCTCAAAAATATAATAAATGTTGTTTAAGTTTAATTGAATTAGGATCTGAATATGATCCATTCATTGGGACTGGTTCGTATATATCTTTTTAAGGCCTCCCTTTTTCTGTGTCCTATGTATTTTAAATGCATCGTCTCATTTAATCCCCACAATGTCTCTCTCTTTTGCAGATTACTCTATTTAGCAGATTAGAAAATTAAGGTGTATAACTTTTCACATCACATTTCTCGTGAAAGGCAGTCTAATTCCAGGACCTGTGAACTATTGTGCTCTGCAACCTCTGTGGGAAGAGCCCCGAAAGGTGTGGAGGGTAACTCACATTTGGAAAAACTAGGGTTTTAGGGGTTGATCCCTATAGAGAGATTGGAAACATCTGGGTTTTAGGGGATGCCACCTTGACTGACATTGGAAAAAGCTGTGTAGGGATGGCACCTAGAATGCAGTGACCTTACATGGAAAGTACACATACTCAGAGGCAAATGTGATCCACCATCAGGCTTTATGCCACCTACCCTTCTTCTGATTCTATTCATATTACCAACATTTTTAGAGTTTCAGAGTTGGATATGACCTTAGAAATCGCAAGATTGAACCTCATCATTTAATAGATGAAAAAAAAAAAAAAAGACTCATAGGAACGAGAATGAGGCGGAGACTAAGAAACATGAGTACAAGTATCCTAACCTGGAGGACAATATTACAAGTCTCCATTAATCTCTTCTGTCTCCAAGTTTTTTCCTCCCAATTTATTTGATGAAATAACAGGGTCAGTGTATAGTTTGTCCCAGTACGGATTTTGCTGATTGCTTTCCCATGGTATAGTTTAACATGTTCCACTTAAACGGAAACTTTTAAAATGTAAAAAAATGAATATACTACTGTGATAAAGGAGTAAACTATTTTTATTATTTTCATAAGGTTTAGATATTTACACAACATACTATACTGCAAAGCTTCTTTCTTAGTGAAAGAAGAGACTAATTTACCTGAGCTCCAAATGACTTTTGGTTTATTGAAAATGTGAATTTTATCATAAAATAAATGATTAAAGCAGTTTCATGTTAGAAAAAAGGAAAAGAAATAATATACTTGCAAGATTCATAATACATGGCTCTTATTGGTTTTATTACAAGAGAATGAAAATGATCTCCAGAAACAATTCTTGGAAGCTAATTATGTAAAATTCATTTGTTACTGTTTTTTGCCTATAAAGAACTTTGTGCCTCATATTCTGTACCACTATGTCAAAATTGTGCAAAATCAGTAGATTATTTATATTACCCAAAGTTTTATTACTTTATCTAAATCTTTGAGGTTAAGAATCATATAACTATACTAGGTGGCTTTAACCAATCTTTTATCATTCACCACGGACACCAGTAAAAAAGAGTTTTTTAAAGTTCTATCTTTAAATCAGTAAAATAAGTTTTGTGAGATTATATGGCATTAAAGAGTTCAAAATATATAAAAAATGATCATTGATTCATAACAACTTTTCTATGCTTAACCTCTAACAGTCAACTCTTTGGTAGACAGTACATGTCTTTCATGATTGTATCTCCTATAGAAATTAGCAGAATAGCTATAGTTCTCCTAGATACTCAGTAAATGTTTGTTAAGTCTGTACAAACAACAACTGAATTTACAACCCTGTGTATTTATGGGAAAGTTTAGCCTTAATATTAACTAACTCATTCTCTAAGTATTTATTTTCATTTACTGTGTGTCAAGCACTATGCGGTGCACTCATTGATAATTCAAAGCCACACTCAGGTTTATTTAACTTTTAATTGTTCAGATTTTATAGCATTAAATATTTTGCCTGATCCTCAAACCTAAAGACCAGAGAGGTGGATAGTAGTTATGATAAATTCATAGAAAGAAGGCCATTACTGGAATGCATTAGAGGGAGGAGAGAATAATACTCTTTGTAGGAGAGTAAGGACGGCGCCCAGAACTTACTCATCCTTGTATTTCTAGCTCCAGCAGAGTTCTTGGTGCATGTTAGGTGCTCAATGAAAAAATGTGGGTGCACATTTCCTGGTACACGGTAACTGCTATTTAAGTAACAGCTATTCTTAACTCACTTAATCCTCATCATAAACTTATGAGGTAGGTACCAATTATTCCCATCTTAGAAATGCGGCTTGCGTAACTTGCACTGGAAACTTCTCCAAGCTTATGTGTAGGGTTGAACACCAGAGTCTGTGCTCTCAACGTTCTTGCAATAAGCCACCTATCATGGATCCTCCCGCCCTCCACCCTCCATGTTTCATGGGCAGTCTCCCAGGAGCAAAGCAGTCTTCAAGTTTGTGTTTTTTGTAGTCTCACACAGAAAAATGTTAGAATTAGCAGCTTGGTAGATTATCACCTTATGAAAAAATACAGAAGGAAAAAGAGAGTGAGAACAAAGATTTTTTTTACTCCCTTTGTATATAGAGTTCACATCTACCTAAAAAAATGGAGCTCATTATTTTCCGTACCTTGTTCAGTTCTTTTTCATGATTTGGATGATCCTGCATTACTGAAAACAGCTCTTTTCTTTTCCTTTCTGGTTCTTTAATAGAAGGCGAATAAGATGATTCAAGGCTACAAATTAAATGTAAAATAATAATTAAAATTAAGCTTGACTTGATAAATTTTTATGATTATATTGTTAATTTAGACCAGGCGTCCCCAAACTTTTTCCACAGGGGGCCAGTTCACTGTCCCTCAGACCGTTGGAGGGCCGCCACATACTGTGCTCCTCTCACTGACCACCAATGAAAGAGGCGTCCCTTCCTGAAGTGCGGAGGGGGGTGGGGGTGGGGCGGATAAATGGCCTCAGGGGGCCTCATGCGGCCCATGGGCTATAGTTTGGGGATGCCTGATTTAGACCATTAAGGGCTGCACAGATAGATCATTACTTTGTTGGAAACATTTTTACTTACAGAAATTGCAAGTTCTAATACATTCAGCTCCCGTAAGTATTGACATCTTTAAGTTCAAATGGTTTTAATGGAAAAAAAGCAATTAATATGGAATTTCAATTATACATTAAAAATTGGCAGAATACTGGGACTGCATATATAGATAAGATTTTGGAATAAAAAGAAAAGACTGTTTCCTATAATAAAATAGCTTGGTAACCCATTTTAAAAAAGGAAACACACCCAACCTGCTAATGTATTGTCAAAAGGAACTGTCATGAGAAGTCTAAGGGGAGCAATTGTTCTATAAAAGATATAAAATATGATTAACTCTGACAGACTAACCAGAAAGTACTCAAATACATCTATTCTTTGGCTGCTGAATTTATAAAGTGGAATTGCAACCACAGATTAATACTAGAGGGGAAAAACAGAAACTAGTATAAAGAGTATAATAGCCACAGGGGGTATGAAGATGTATAAGCAGGTAATATTCACTTTCATATGAGACAAACTGGTAAAATAAAAATCACAGAAACACAAAAATAGATAACCAGGTGGAGAAGCAGCATGCTTTCTACTGGAAGTCAGGCTTGACTATTCTGGAGGAGTCTGTTGTTTTGGGGAACATACCCCACTTGTGAGAACAATTTTAGATTTCCAGAGAACTTTTGAGAAGATTCCACACCTTCAGAAATTTCAACCACACAAATAAAAAACCCAAATCTGAATAATGATAAAGAAATTACTAATTGAGAGATTGAAAATAGAGGAGCTGTTATATAAGGTATAAGTTGGTAGTGATATCCTTGAGCTACATGTATCTAGACTAGATTGATGTTTTCGTGATTATCAAACATATATCTTAATTGTGGAAAACAAAGCATATCAGAGTATAATATACTGCTGTAATGTTAACATTCAGGGAAAACCATGTTTAGCATTTTTATGTTCAGTAAATTTATTTTTCGTATACATATATATGTGTAAAGAAATATACACTTCCCATACAATTGGAATATACTATATACATATTTCAGTCTCCCACTTAGTAATATATCGTGAGCATTTTCCATTTTATCCAGTATTCTCCTAAAATATTATTTCAGGATGAGTCTTAAGTTTTCATTATTTTCTATGATTTGAAATGAGTGGAAAAAATCGCCTATTTTTTAATCCTTCCTAAGCAATTTCAGGAAGTAAAATGCTGAACTGAATGCTAAAAACTTCATGGTGATCTTGCAAAGTTCAGTGAGGGTATGAAACAAATGTCAAACTCCAATGTGCATAAGTGCATAGAGTAAATCATGATAATATAAAATACTAATGTGCATATATGAGGGAACTATTATTTGTCATGTAGCAAGAGGTTATGAAATTAGTTTTAATAACTCTAAGAACGTATCAACCCAGGGCACTTCTACAACTAAAAAAAATAGAAAAAACTAACAAAATCTTAGTATTATTGGGAAAGTTTCTGAAAATGAATAAGAACATTACCATGCTACTTCTATAAAACTACTATGCATCCATTATCAGTAGTCTGGGGTGCTTCACTTTGATACAACTACAAAGAAGCAACAGTCTAAATGAAATAAACCAAAACAATAAAGCTGATAGTACAGCATTCATATGAGAAAAAACTTAAAAAAAAAAAGATGCTTTCAGTGGAAAAGATGAAAGCTGAGAAGTCTAAAATACAATGGAAGCTGTGAAAAGTTAAACTTACACCTTTTCATCAAATCTCAGAATTCTAGAACTAAGGAATCCCTTCAAATAAGAAAGATGTAGTTTGGAGACCAAAATCAATGCCAAGTTAAACAGAAGATGATAAACAGGCAGAACAAAAGAGTGTGTATTGGCCAAATATATAAATAAGTGTAATATTTTAGATTAAATAGTGTACTGAAGGGCAGTTAGCACTGTTTGGAATTTAGCATGGGCTTTAAGAGAACCATAAAAAGTACCTACAATGCTCTTCACAAAGCCAGAACTAGACATGGGTTGATTGGTGTGCTCTTCTGTGAAATGTCTTACGTTTTTAGGGATATATTCTTTTCTTTGTGTGAAGACATTACTCACCAGACTGGAACAGCATTACATGTAATAAATATCTAACAGGTTTATTAATAATCAGTGATGATGATATATATCTTGTATACAGAGCATTCGCTAATGCAGACTGGCTAATAGCATTCTGCCACCATCCTTGGTGAGACACAAAAACAGGTCATTTTAGGGATCTTAATTTGCCATTTGTTATTCAGCATAGACCTTGAAGCAATGCTAGCAGGTCTCACAACTTTGAAGAAATAATTATTGCCTTTACTACAGTATAACGGTTTTTTCAATAAAGCATCCCTCACCATTTGGCTATTCAGTTTTTAAAATCCTATCATTGATCTGGCATTAGCTTTCTGATTTTGAGAAAGATTCAAGTTTTATGAGAATAAGAGCATCAGTGAACTATTAAAGCAGTCAAACTGTCTATTCACAAGCATAAACATTTAACAATCCTCAGCACTCCCATTTCCTTTGTTTATGGAATATACAGTATCTGTCTGATTTTAAAAGAGGAAAAGAAAAAAATCTCTGTTTTAAGAAGAACTCTCAATGGAACTGACAAGATGGCAAGTGTGGTGGCCAAAATAAATAAAATACATACCAGTGAAAAAGTTGACATCAGGTATAGGCAATCAAAAGAAAAGCATTTAAAAATATGGAATAAATCTTATTTCTCTGAGTTTATATAATTGAATACTTCTTTTTTTTTTTTTTTTGAGACAGGATCTCACTCTGTTGTCCAGGCTGGAATACAGTGGCATGATCACAGCTCACTGCAGTCTTGACCTCCCAGGCTCAAGCGACCTTCCTAGCTCAGCCTCTCAAGTAGATGGGACTACAGGTGTGCACCCCCATGCCCAGGTAATAAAAAAATTTTTTTTGAAGAGTCATGGTCTTACTATGTTGCCTAGACTTGTCTCAATCCTGGGCTCAAGTGATCCTCCCACCTCAGCCTTCCAAAGTGCTGGGAGCCACCATGTCTGACTCAGTGTGTCAGAAGTATCCATAAATCAGAATATGATATAATTTTCTAGGTAAGTGAAGATGTTAATTTTGAAGATAAAATAACCATGAATTTTATTTTTAATATTTAATATTACCCATTAATTAACATGTTAATACAAAATAGGCTTATTCCCATTTCAAACATAAAACTCTTAAATAAAACACTCAAACACCATGTTTTGAACAGTTCTCTCAGATTGTCAAATATTAAGATTATACCTCGTTTTATTTCCTTGAGCATTTTGGCACTCTCCTATTTTTAATAATTCTCTGTGTAATTGCAATCGTTCCATTTCTATAATTCTCAAGAGATCATCACGTGATTGTAACTCACTTTTCACCTCTGAGAGACCTGCTTCCATAGCCTGAATAAAAACATCAAAAAATTTCAATGCTTATTTTTGGATATCATAATGTATAATGCATTTAAAAATATTTAACATCTATAAAGCAGTCTAAGTTTAAGCAAACTAATATTTAGTTCTTTGCTTGTTCTGTCTCATAGAATTCCATTCCTTCTATCATTTTTTCTAACAAATATTTACTGAGTTTTTATTATGTGCTCTGGGGATACAGACACAGAACCTGTTCTCAGTGAGCTTACAATCTAGTGACAAAGAGAAAGAATAATCAAATCATCACACAAATATCACACTGAATGTGAATTTGAAAGAATAAAACATAAAAGTATGAATAAAATACAATGCATAAAATTTTAATTAATACAAATACTTTCAAATTGTAAAAAGATAATAATCAAGAATAACCTAATAGCAAAGCTGACCAACAAAATGAATTATAAACAAACTGTGTTTCAACCCTTGCCCAATGGCAGCTATACTTCAGTCAGTAAAAGGAAATACTAGCAATCCTCTGGGTTCAATGTTTTATTTTGTTAATAAGAAAAGCTTGAACTAGGTTAGCAGTTGTTGGGAAGGACCCACCAGAAGAGAGGAGAGGTAAAAGGAGTGGTGTCAGGTTCCTAAGAAGGTGGATAGGATGAGCCTCAAAGCACACTGGGAGAATTGCCTGAAGCAAAAGTAAGGCTCTCATCTCTGTAACAGGAAGGAAGGTGGAATGCAGACACCTTTATGCATTTAGATAAGGGGATATTAAGAGACTGGATATCTCTTAGTTTCTATTTTCTCTGTGAAGTAAAAAGCAACATCACATACTAAGAGTAGAAGGAGAGGTGCAGGGTATAGGAGTGATTTTTGAGAGTGGTGAAGACTTTAAATGGCTTACAATGGGAATGAAAGAGTTAGCTACTTGGAGAAAAAAGCTGGATTGCTGGGCAGTGTTGAGTGCCCATTTGAGGTTGGGGACGATGGCCTGTTGAGTGATTTTTCTGCAGCAGTACTTGGCTGTTCTCTAGGAGAGAGGAATGGAAGAGTCCTTCAATATCATCGGGTTCCTTCCATTCAATTATACAAGGAAATTAATGTTTTTAAAAAGTGCCTGACTTACATCATCAAATCCATTTCCATTTTTATGGATGAGGAAATTGAGCGCCTGACTTGATCCAAAGTTACACAGCTCGTAAGTATCAGATTTTGGAACAGAAAAATCCACCTTTTGACTTCTGGTCTAGTTATAACATTCAGGAGGCAAAAATAATTCCTTCCACTCAAAGTAAGTTAAATAGACCTCTAGTGTATTGCTAAAGACAGGGTGAGAGGTTCTGAGGGCAAGAATATTCTCTGATAGTAAAGGCTGTAGAAAATACTATATTAAAAAATCATTTGATATTGATCAAATGATTCTTAATATATAGATATACTTAATATTCATTGAAATATAATCAATGATACTGAATTATTAATAATATTCACTGAAATATAATCCACATACCATAAATTCACCCACTTAATGTGTACAATCTGGCAGCTTTTAATTTAGTCACAAAGTTGAACATCACCACTACTTGATTCCACAGCATTTTCATCATCCCCAAAGGAAACGTCATAGTCATTAATAGTCACTCCTCATTTTCCCCTTCCTCCAGCTCCTGGCAACCACTAATCTATGTTCTATCTCTATGGAATTGTTTATTCTAGATGTTTTATACAAATGGTATCATACACTATGTGGCCTTTTGTGACTGGCTTCTTTCATGTAGCATAATGCTTTCAAGGTTCATTCATGTTGTAGTGTATATCAGTGGTTCATTCCTGTTTATGGCTCAATAATGTTCCACTATGTGGATATACCACATTTTGTTTATTAGTTGATGGACATTTGGGTTGTTTCTACTTTTTTGACTATTATGAATAATTCTGCTATGAAAATTAATGTGTAAGCTCTTATGTCGACCTGTGTTTTCTTATTTATTCTTATCCAAAAGTTCACAAAGCCTGGAAGAATAATTATATAGAGGGCATGGAATATAATGAGTTCCTGGATAATTTGTTTTTACCAAGACTTAAATATATGCTGTTTTCCAGAAGGCCTGTGTTTAGCGAGGGGCCTAGTAGTATTAATTTAGCCCCAGAACTTCCTGGCCACCTTGGCAAGAAATATAAAAACAGATTCAAATTGGTGATTTAATAGACTTGTTTGGATAAAGCTTCTGTTTTGAACAGTGGAGATTTCCCAGGTAAGATTAAACATTTTAAAAATAAAAGAAATGCAAAACAATAGATTACCAATCAGAAAGACAAATTGACTTAATGTGAATGTTGCCCATAACTTTGCCCAATTGAAAAAGGCACTATGTAGACTCCCTGGTTTGCATGTAGGAAAGTGTGGCTGCTTTCAGTTGGGGAAGGGGAGTACACAAAACGCTCTAACCTTAGGCCTATAAAATGTAGTGTTGCCACAGGCTAGGGTTAGCTGAAACTCTGTAAAATGTGGTAATAATACAATATATTTGTTTACTATTATTAGAAATTAATATCTGTAAGAGTGAAATTTGGAGACATCTTGAGAAGAAAGCTTATTTATGACCTAACTACACAGGTAGAAGCATATATGTTAAAATTCAAACTTTTCATAATACAAATTAGTAATAATGATTTTACATGTGAATGAATATACGAAGTATTTTACTTATAAATGACAGCATGTAAATTGGCTGCAAAAATACAAGAAAAATTTGAAGGCTTTGTTGATATTGATAAAGCTAAAATTGTTTTTTGACCTTGAATTCAAGGTTAATACTGAATTAACACAACAATTAGTGAATTGATTTAACTGAGATGCAGTTTTAAAATTAGTATGCTTCTGCATGAAAGTCAAATCAATTATTTGTGAATGTGGGTGCAAATATTGAGGAAAATGATTCTTTGGCACTTGATTGAGTTACTGGAACATTTTCAAGTTCCTTTGGAACAACTTAAGTATGTAAATCAACTTTAACTGTAAAATTTTATGGGATCTAAATACAGATCAGGTACTTCAGATGAATACTTAGCATGTAAATTGAGATATGTTGTAAGCATAAAATACAAACCACATTTTGAAGACTTAGTATAAAAAAAGTAAAAATCTCAATAATTTTTATATGTTGATTACATTTTAGAATGATAATATTTTGGATATATAGTGGGTTGAATAAAATATATTGCTATGATATGTTAGTTTCACTCATTTTTCTTGACTTCATATGGCTAGTAGGGAAATTTAAATTATATTTGTGGCTTGTACGATATTACTACTGAACAGTGTTGCTCTAGTACCTTAATGACAAATTAACAAGCAAACAAAAAAGGTTAACTTTTTGGTCATAGAGATTAGAAAAATGCTGAGAAATCTATTTTTGTCATTAACTTCCAATGGGAAATACTGCACATTAAAAAAATGTGTAGAGTGTAGCATAATGAATAAATATATGCAATGAAATTAATATGTAAACTGATACATTTCAAGGTTGTGGAAAGACAAATGAGTTGTGATTCATGTGAAAACTGAGATGCATCTGGCAATAAAGTATGCTATAAACAAAGAGAAATGATAGTAATTCAGATGGAAATGGTTGTCTTTTTTGCATTTATGTGTACTATGTGGAACTCTCTGTCATGACAGTTTTATGAAAAGAGAAGAGAAACTTCTTTCCAAATACATATATTGGTTATAGTATTAGTTATGCTCTAATTATTCCTACTTGGTAAAATATAAATTTTGTCAAACATGTTTAAAGCCCATCTGTTTAGTTAGAAGTTTGCCTAATGGTTTGAAAGTAGCAGTGATTCTAAACCTTCAAATTTCAACTACCAAATATAAATAATTGATTTATTTTCATTTAGATTTATCCTAAAGAAAATAATGAAACATGAGTAAAATATGGAATGAAACAGAGGAAAAGCTAAATTAATGCAATATATTCAGAAATTTTTTCCTAAATGGATGAAAAATACTTAGGGTTTTCCTGAGAGTAGAAATCTGTAGACATCTTAAACTTTTTGAACCAAATTACAATTCAAAGTCTTTTCATTAGTTCATAAAAGATTTTGTTTTTCATAAAGCATGGTCTAGAATAATCTAGTTTGATTTTTAATACATATGATTCTTTTATAAAATATAAAATGGAGATTCTTAGTTTAAATGTAATAATGTTCCTAGATCCAAGGATAACTAAATCATTTTTTTAATGAACAAAAATTTGTAAAAAAAAATAATTTTGGTAAACTTCCTCATAGGAATCAGTATAACATCAGTCACATTTAAAGTTAATATTGGCTATGGAAAACATCACAAAATGAAGTTAGAGAATTACTAGTGAGAAATACGAGAAAAATAACATTTCAAAATTTAAAAAAGTTTTATCAATCTTAGCACTATTGGCATTTGGAACTGGGCAATTCTTTGTTGTAGGGTTATCTTGTGCACTGTAGGGTGTTTAACAGTATCTCTGGCCTCTACCCACTATATGCTTGTCACACTCCTTTCCTTGTTGTGGTAACCAAAAATGTATCCAGGCATTGCCAAATGTCACATGGGAGGATAAATCACCCCAGTAGAGAGGCACTAATTTAAATGAAAGTCATAAAAATTAGGCATTGAGTACTGCTGTTTTGCAAGCTTTAGTATAAATATCAGTAAAATGACTTCACAATTATATTGACTGCTAGGAATAGCTGGATTTTAATTTTGTTCGTTGTATATAGGAACATTATAAATTATTAAGTACATTAATACATAAATACCATCAGGAAAAATAAAAATAGGTAACATGGACTTTCCTTAGCCCAGGCAACCCACAGAGCCTTCTCAGGTGTGCATGTAAGCCCACAGAAGTTTGTAGAAATCTTTGATGAGTAGGGAAGAATTGCGGTCAGTTACATCCTGTTGAACTTAGGTCAGAAAAGTAAGTTGATTAAATGATATCAGTAAGTGATAGGGTGATCTTGGCCAGCAGCTGCTTTGA